GATGCCAACATGCGTTAGAAGACTGCCCTCATCACTGTGTGCAAGCCGATTGCACAGCTGCCTTGTCGCTCCATAGTATTGACAGCCTGGACTGAGCTGTGCAAAATTATTCTGAAACTATGCTGAATCATCCGTGGTTGTTGTGAATGAGGGTATTTTTCCTGATAGTCATCCTGCTGGTGATCTAGACTTTTGTTTTCTTGCACTCCTTTTTTCAATTTTCCTATTCTCTTCCTATTATTTATTGTCTTAAATTTACTTGTTTCCTACATGGCGAATAGGAGGCTGTGCTGACGATTCTCACTCCGACTTACATCCAATGCTTTGTCTGTATTTACAGTTAAGGGATGAAACACAGAATGCAGACTTATCTGATCTTTTGAACACGTAATCTTCGAACAACATTTCTAGATATTTCTGCTAAGAAACACTGGATGCGTTACATTTTCTTCTTTATCGCGTTTAGGGTGCAGAAATATCCTGGATTACAGAGTAGCCCGAAAATAGATCAGGTCTTTACATGGTATGTACTGAACGCGTTAAACCTATAAACATGTCTAAAGAAAACTGAATTTGAAAGGCCTCTCAAAAATTTTAAATAGTTGTTGTGCATCAACACAAACTTCCGGAAGGACGCATCTGAAAATAGTACGATAATTCTTTCAGTGCATTCCTGTTTGTGCATATAGCTGCCAGCTAAAATATTTGACCAACGCACGGGCTGCCGGTGCGAAGATGCGTTTTTTGCAGAGTTCCCCGCAGTTATTGTCGCTACCGGCATCGGTCTTTTCGGCAAATGCTTCTAGCTGAAAAAATTTCAGACTGGCCGCCAGAACTGTCTGGAAACATCCCCTCAAAATTCCAGTCTTCTAGCTTCTCACGTTCTCGAGTCAGTAACTTACCCGAAAGGAACTTTTCACGGGCCTGTACGTAGGTACCACGCTTACCCGCGGGCAGGGTTTGAACTCGTTAAGGCCACTTAGACAGGGAACAACCCCCTAAGGTTTCAGCTTTCTAGCAACTCAGAACCCCAAGTTATGAATTTACGCGGGAAAAATTTTGGGTTAAGATTGCAGCTGTCTAACTTCTCAAAACCCCATATTATTAACTTACGCAGGAAAAATTATTGGAGGGGAGGGGGGGGCTGCTGTACGCGGGTGGTACCATGCTTACCCGCGGGCAGGGTTTGAACTCGTTAATACCCACTTAGACAGGGAACACCCTCTAAGATTTCAGCTGCCTAACTTCTCAAAACCCCGAGTTATTAACTTACGTGGGAAAAATTTTGGGGGGCTGTACGCGGGTGCCACGCTTAACCGGCGGCTGGATTTGAGCTCATTAGCACCTGCTTGGACGGGGAACATTCCTCTAAAATTTCAGCTTTCTATATAATAACCCCGGGTTATGAATTTGCGCGGGAAAAATTTTGAGGGGCCCGTACGCGGGTACCACGCTTACCTGGGGGCTAGATTTGAGCTCATTAGTACCTGCTTGGACGGGGAAAATTACCCTAAAATTTCAGCTTTCTAGCATGTCAGAACCCCGAGTTATGAATTTGCGCGGGAAAAGTTTTGGGGGGCTCGTGCGGGGGTACCACGCT